GACATTCCACATCGCCTCGGCCGAAGAAATACAAGGCAATGATGTAGTGGTGAGGTGGTTGCGCACTCGACCACAATCATTCTAATCTCTCTGACGTTCAGGCGTTGCTGAAGCGATGAGATAAGTGGGTATGTCCACGCCAAGTGGTCCTAGGATTTTAGCCGGAAATTGTCCTAAATATGCAAATATTACTTTCGCTACAGAAGTTCATCTCTTTCCTCAGAATACATGAATGAAAGAGAATATTACATTGAAAAATGAAAGAATTAGTCATGATTATGATATATTATTCGAACCATTCTCGTGATACTAAAAAATGGAATGAAAATGCACATTTGGAGAGTCTGAATCGAACTATTGGAACAGATGCCAGCATGGAATTTCTATGCATACTGATAATTTCAAATCAGCTCAGGTGTGAAGAGTAGATGTCAAATGTTCACATTTGAATGATATGTATAAAATTAAATTAAATTATATGTACAGACTTATCATTTCAAAATACATTTTCAGAACATGTCACATCCGACACACTCCTGTCACATCCGACACCGTCACAAAATAGGCTTTCTTTCTGTTTCAAGTGTAGTAATCTTGGGGTGACTTACACTAATTAAAGGCTTTCATTCAATCTATAGAATGAACATGAAACTAAATTATTAGGGTCCGCTGGATGACAGATATGTGAACAATAAAGAAAGTGTCTTTAATTTGAGGGTTCACGAAATGTCGCGTCTGACACTTTCCGTTGCACATTACACGTCTAACAAAAGAGAGAGTGCAAGACTTTGGATTATGAAATTTTCAGTCAATACCCAAAGCAAATTGTAATAGCCTTTATGTGTTGGTTCGTCATAGTTAAATGCATTTTGAATGCTAAACATATTACCCCGGATGTCACGTCCGACACCGTGGACAGACCCAAGTATGTCCGTGTAGGAGGGGAATATCTTGAAAAGTATGCGTAGTTTGATAGAGATCAGATGTACCAAAGATTTTCTGGAATTAAAAAATGCAAGTAAGTATTTAACCACCCTCATATGCGTGTTACCTGGGATGGTGAACGTCGAATCACACGTTCTCGTTTGAATAGCTCGAAATCTCTTCCATCAGCTGGCCTTGGCATGCTGAATGCACAGTTCTGCCTCAGCAATGCAATGTGATCATTTCAATACTTCTGACCGCAAGGAATTGCGGGTGTGAAGGACGAATCCATTAATTGCGGGGATAGTAATTTTATTCTGGCAGGAATCTGTATGCGAGGTATTTGTTTAATATCTGAATTCTAACACGTTAATACTGAGCGCTACCGTGGAAATGTTGCACGATTGCTCACACATTTTTATTCACCCTTGAGTTTTGCGAATCATTAATACACAAGGCCAGACCACCAAAACTAGGAGTAGGAGGGGGAAGACTCATTTTGAGGAATGTAGAAAAATGCATTTAGAAGTTGACAGCCAATGAGACAGAGGTTCAAGACCGAGCCAAGTGTGACCCTGTCGCTCTCTGACTGCTCAACTCCTGAACTGCAACCTTTCTGTTACTATCGCCAGATGTCTTTAAGGACCTTAAGCGTCCCTGTACTGTTGTACACGAAAGTTGATCCTCATCTTAACCCTCTTAATCCCAAGGTGCAGGTTAGACTCGAGCACCGTCCCTCCTGCTTATCAAGACCAGATCGAACTCCGCTTCCATTCCTTTGCGCTCGATTGTGTCCTCCACTCCACTACCAGCAGGAGCTCTTATCCATTCCCAATGTCTAACTTCTTTTCAATAATTGCTGATAATATTGCTTTATCTCAACAAATTCGGATGAAATTTGATGCATCAGTTGGAAACATTCATACATGCAAAGGGAAAGTTTCGCGAAAATAGCTCTATTGTGAAGGGAGATCTTTGGGTTGAAAGTCGTTGGTCCCATACCCTGTTAGTTTCCATACCCTGTATAGGCTGAAGGTGTCGATACATCGGCACCTTGGGATTAAGAGGGTTAAATACAATACGTTATTGGCCTTATTTCGAGGATTCATGGGAATTTTCCAATTTAGTGTATCCGCTTAAGTCGTGGGTTGAGTGAGATAAATTACAGATTATGTGAAAGGTTGAGAGAAATGGGCATAGGAGGACATTAAGATGTCAGACGGCTCTGGGACTTGAGGGAAGCAAGCATGAATTACGAGGAGAGAGGGGAAGTGAGGACGGAAATCGGTGACGGTGCATCTCTTCCTTTCGACCCTAATGCTCAAAAATCCTTAAAATATCTGGTTCCAAATACCCACTGCCCTAGATCTGGATCTAGCCTCTGCCTGAGAAGGCAAGCGGCTGCCACTACTCCCCTCCTGAAGGTTGGTTCAGATGCCCTAGCTCTCCGTCACCGACTTCATCCACTTGTCCCTCATTTCACTCTCATTTACCCCTCATTAACTGGTGCCAAAGAGATCAGAGAACCCCTCGCTTTGAGTGGACATATTGGGTGACATGCACCAGATTCATTTAACTTTAAACTGATTCGTTTTCATAATGTTAAACTATGTTAAACTGATTCCCATAGGGGACATTTGTGAAATCAGATTAGTTTAGCTTAAACGGATTCAGTGCATGTCCCCCATTATGCAGTGTATAGGTTCGAACCTGGGATGGAATCTCTTCGATCCTTCGCTAATGATCCTTAAATGAAGAGGACAGATATGGGAATATTAATCAGTTTGAGGGGCTTCCAGACACTGGTAGACATCGCCGAGGAGGAAAAAAAGGGGGAGTCTCTGTCATCTATTTCAGACTGATGCTTCCAGATTGTCACATTTGGTTTGGTTCAAGCCCACTTGAGATGAGAGGGAGCAAGCAGAAAAATTGGGATGATAAACTTGTGTTCAACGTAGGACAATAAATATTAATCGAACAGACTATGCTAAAAGTCCTGCTTTGTGTTGCAGTTAAATGAGCAGAAACGCGGAAACGAATGAGAGCAGACTTGAGATGTCCCGTTAGTAGATAAGACAGCTAAACTTTAAAAAAATCGCAGAGAGAAATGAGATTTATTCGCACTCAGTCTTCCTGGAGTTGACGGGAATCATATCTCATGAGAGACGAGCGGACGAAGTATTCACAAAGCAAGCAAACATCCAACCGACCACTTACGCCCACTCGACCCTCTCGTACTTCGTTCTCATTTTAAAATGATCAGTGGCATTACCAACTAACATTTTCGAAAGAAAATCTTATTCGCCCGAATTCTATCTTACAGTTGCATTCATGTCAAACATTTTACAACGCAACTTCCTATATGAGGGATATTCAATAAGTTCGCGGTCTTACTAACTTTGGCTGTAGGTTTTTCAACCACAGCAATGTAGGTTAGCATTGTCTCTACTGCTCTCTTCCTCAGTGAAGTTAGACGTTTGTAGTTACTCTTATGTTAGAATACCTCCTTGTTGTTTCGTTGTAGGATTAAACTTTCATGTATTTTCCCAAATTTAGCTTCGATCTGTTACCAAATTTTTACACAAGGAGGGGGCTTCACGTCACAGGATATTAAACTACTCCTCTTTTTTTTTCAAGGATCGTTCACCTTCCTACAGCACAGTAAAGAAGAGGCAACGTAATTCCGACAAAGATGGAATTCAATAGATGACCCCCATCCGGATTGACTTTTGGAGGTGACAACAGAGATTACTTGCTGCGTCGTAGAGAAGCTGATGTTGAAGGGACAAGGGAACAGGGTCGTGGGAGAACGGTTAGAAATGAACGTTAACAGACTCTAGGCATCTCAAAGGGCAACTTTCAAACTGTTTTGCACGAAAAGCTGGGACTGTGGAAGATCTGTGCTCGCAGGGTTCCCAGAACGTTGTCCGTCGTTCAACGTGGTGACAGGGTCAGGATCGACGGGACAGCCGACAGGATTTTGACGGGTTCAGTGTCGATCTCTTCTCCGGACTCTTGCTCGCAGTTGGTTTCTGAGGATGAAACCTGGTTCGACCACTGGGAGCCAGAACCCAAGCAACAGTCGATGCGGTGGAAACAAGATTCTCCGCCACTCGAGAGGTTTCGGACTCGTGCCCGGGCTGGCAAAGTGATAGCGACGATTTTCTGGGACGATATGGCAGTCGTTCACCTCGACTACATGCCCCCAATGTTACGATTCCTGGTCGGCACCATGCTGCTTTACTTTGGAGATTGCGCGATTCATTGAGAAGAAACGCCGAGGAAAGCTGAGAGAAAGGTTATCATTTTGCACGACAATGTAAATGTTTTGCTCGTACAGCCAATGTTTCACAGGTCGTCCTCCACGACCCTGCATTCCAACAATTGCCGCACCCGCAACGTTCACCCGACCTGGTATCTAGTGACTTTTGCTCGTTTCCATATCTCAAGGAACATCTCCGTGGAAAGGGATTTTGAGATGACGATAGGGTGATTTGCGAAACTTAAAGGGTGTTTCGAAGGGTCGTCGAAAGACTGGTTTAAGGCTGACAGAGATGCTAAAGGGAAGCTGGACGAAGTGCATTGTTTTGAAGGGTGACTACTGAAAAATCGTATTGCCGACAAATCGCTACATTATGGTCTGGCTTAGAACTTACAGGGTACCCCTTGTACTTTCAGGAAAATTTTTGGAACAGCAAATCAGACCCAAAAATGGGCGAAGGTAGTGGTGATTTTAGCTTAACTACTGAATACTTTTAAAGCTAAACTTTATTTTCATCTTGAGTTCTAGATGTACCTGTGTCAGATTTCATTACTCAACTCCTTAAAATTTCCTCTTTTTTTTCAAACACACCCATCCATCCTGCCAGAAGGGTGAAATTAATCTCGCTCTCGCTAAAGCACGGCGCGGAAAGAAAGAAATGAGAATAAAGACTTAAAGAAACGCCCAGACATTGTCATTTGGTCATGTGTGGAAAACCTCCTTCCAAACGCGTTTTGAAGAAAAGGCCAAATTGCTCAGCCCGAATTGAGAACTCTACTCAATTAACACTCCGGAATCAAAAGGTCAAGACGTATCAGTCTCTCGTTTTATTCGTTATACGATGAACAGACGTATTCTTAAGTGAGAGTTTCATCGTCCTCTCACTGCTGAAACAATCCAACGACACAAATGAGTCTCATTCACGCTTTCCTCCATTCATCGAAACTAAAATATTTTCAGGATGAACACCTTTTAGTAAAGGAAGGGACCTTGATAAATCTTCCTTTGCACATGCAACAGAAACCGACTCGACACACATAAGTTAGAAGGCACATAAGTTACTCATCCGCCGCGATAACATCACGCATTTATCCTCTTTCTCTCGTTTCAATATATTGGCACGTTTGAGAATTCCTCTTGGAATCACCGGGTCAGTTCCCTTTTTCTCGACTTCAATCATTGCCGAGATGTAAGAAAAAGAAACATGAGAAAAGGAGGAGAATCAGGATGAGAGAAGAGAGGGAGAATATACATTTAAAAAAAAGGGTGAAGGAGACCCTGATTAGACGAAGTGAGATTCTGAAGGATCGGATGAATCCAGATTCGTGGATTACAGAGTGCACGATACTTAGGATGTAGAGTGGAGTGATGTTACATGATGGTGCAACAGAGTGGAGCAGCACAGCACAAAGGGAGGCAGAGAGGGACGGCCATGGCCCGCTCGCTATCCTTGCTCTTCGTTCCGTATTTCCATTTCCCCTTCTCCTTCTCCTTCTCCTTGTGCCACATCGGCACGACCTACAAAGGATAGAACGCGGAGCATTCCCATAGACCGCCGGGGAAATACCAGATCAAGAAAGTTTTGACGTTTTGTTGTTCATTTCAGACCTGTCCGCTCTGTTCCTCCTTCTTCTTAAGGGTGTCGTGAAAGCTGGGAGGGTAATAGACGGGAGATCCGGCTTTGTTTTGGGATTCCACGAGTGCCGAGGACTTCTCCTTTTCCCTCCGGTGAATGAGTTCAGACGAGGGTGCGGGGGGTGGAGGCGGAGCGCCCCCCCCTCCTCCATGTCCCTGACGTGCATCCTGCGAGGAAGGATAACCTTTTCTCTCGTACCAAGCTCTCGCGCATACGAGGCAGATGGATACATTCTTCATGCTCGTTTCCTCATCCGCACCAAAGCTGTTGCATTTCGCTAACCCTTTCAATATTTCATGACCCTACTGACTAATTCTCTCGACTGGTGGTTCTCTCTTTCTTCATCTCCTTGTGCCAATCGATATCACAGGATAGTACACAAGCATGTAAAAGATTCACCAGCTGAATTTCAGCTGAGACAAACGGTGGAGAGTCCACCTTAATACTTTTTTTTTTCCTGCCGGAGTATCGATAATATTCTTACCCTTGTAGTGGATGAAGACGAGATGGAGGCCATGAGTTCTTGGACCTCCTTTGGGGGCCTCTGGACCCCAGCATCCGGAGTCGTCAAGTTCGTTGGGAACTTCCTTGGCAGAGAAGGGCTCCTCTTCAGCCTTTCCCTTTCTTCCCGGAGCCGTCTCTCTCTCTCTCTCTCTCTCTCATCCGGGGATGGAGATCGTTGCTCCCTCGACGACCACATGTACTGATAATTGTACTGTCGGACGAGGTTAGATGGGTCGGCATCAGACCCATATCCGGGTCGGATAGGGGATGCATCCCGACGAGGACGGGATGGAGACCGGGATGGGGACCTGGACCTGGATTCACCGGATCTCAGCCGCGTCGGCGATGGTGAATCCTCCCGGCCCCACGACCTATCAATTCGTAACAAAACATGCACCTTCCAAATCGTCTGCTTTTTTTTTCAAGCACAAGCTGAGCGGAGGAGGGCCGTACTAGGAACCCTTTTTGGGACCGAGCAAATGCTTGAATCGTCAATCACATGGAAGACCTAGCATTCACCAGGCTATGGTAAATAGCATTTCTACAATTACGTAAATAAATATGCTTTAAAAAAAAATAACTGAACACGATGGGAAGAGCAACGAAACACATACTAATGATAACAATGGGAAGCAATGTTTTCCGGTTTTCTAACATTTTCAATCGAGCCTATCGAACGACTTCAACGCTTAACTTTATTGATAAATGTAAAAAAAACATCAACGCTATTGAATACCCCTTTGAATCCCAAGGAACCTTGCATAATTGTTAATGGGTAAAGTGCTCCAAAAATGAAATTATTGAACCCAAATGAAGGGAGCGCCCTGCGAGCCAACACGTCTCCAGTAAAGGGAATGTAGTTCATTACCGCCTGCTCCGATGCGTCGTGGATCGATCGATGGACTGATAGATATCCGTGTGGGTCAGGTCACCGTCCTGTCCGTAACCGGGTCGGATCGGGGATGCATCTCGTCTCCTGTTGCAATTCAAACCGAAAAGCCGGTCCAATTCTCTTATCATACGAATCAGTTTTTGTTGTAGTCGGTGTAGAGAGGAAGACCAACCGTGCTGTGGAAGAAGGGCTGTAGTCCCTTCGACTCATTCGATCCAAGCTTCCTTGTCCTTGATAGGATTGATGTTGATATTTCTTCGCGTAGGATCCACTCCCGTATTCAGCATTTCGGGGTAGCGAAGATTCTCGGTTCCGAACTCCATATTTCTCCACGTGATAGCGACGATCTGGGTCGTGATATCACCAGCCAGTCAGCATCGGGGTGAAAAGGCCAAAAGGACTATTTTTTTTTTTAAATCACTCGAACCGAGGCTGGCAGTGCGTCGAGGTGTCTTAGGAGAGGAGAGTTGGTAGGAGGGATCCGAGGGGGAATATTTATGCCTGCTGGGATCTAGCGGTTCATCGTCGTAACTGCGGTTATACACGGATCGAACCACGTTGGATTCCTCGTGTCTTCGGTTCGTGCTTCCATACGGAGTACTCGTGACCACAGGACCTGCACCTGGACTCTGGCTTCTGGATCGTTTCCTGTTTCACACATACAACATATAACTATTACCTCCCTTTCTCCGAAGTGGTCACTTTACTTGAATGAGGACTCACGTTAGGAACTCCTCATCAACGAAGCTCCGGTAGCTCTTCTTATGTCCCTGGGGCTTCGCATCTGAAAATTGAACAAGATTATATGATATTGGAGACAAGATCTCTCGCTCTCGATAGCATTGAAATGAGGGTGTGCACATCAATTCTGCAGATTCCACGAGCACATTTCTCTCTTCTTCCATATCAAGTATATTTTTTTTCTTTCTAGATCCAATATAAATCCATTTTAATACACTAGTCAAGCACCTGTGTACACACTGGGTGTGCATAGACAGTGACCGTCGACTTCGATCCCTGGATGGCGATTGCTAGAGAATATGTGTTTCTCGATTAAAAGAACCATGGTCGAACGCACTTGGGAACTCTCCCCAAGGCCCTGCCCAATGTATGGTTCGTAGACCAAGGCTGGGAGTCAGTCCCTAGGAAGTAAAAATTGGATCTCTTTGTACACAATGCAAAAGTCGCTTTTGATGAAAGAACAAAGGGTGATGAAAAAGCGGGTGATGACGACGAATGACGAACACTTCTCAGAACAACTGAGAAGGAATGTGAGCTTTGATTCGATGTCAAGTGTTGAAAACTGGTGCTGTACAGTAGTCTCAAAGCAATTATCTAAACTGTACAGAGATGGCGCAAGTGCATTCACTCTGACCACAGTAGAATCAAATGCCAACATTTTTGCAACGTGAAAGCATATTCTTACAGGGGGAACCGAGGGCTTTCGAATGATGTATCACACAGGAATTTTGGTTCAAAATTACTATGAAAGGTTCATCTGAGTCAGATCAGAGGTCAACTCCAGTTTTTAAAAAAATCTAAGATGAGTTTGCACAGTGACAAAAAAAAGTCTAATCGAATGAGCCATCGATGATGAAAATCGGTTGAAAAACCTGGGAGGAGTTTACTGAACAAGTTCCGGTCCTACAGACATCTGCAGGTCTAATATACTGTATGTATGTAGAATCCATGCTGCGCACGGCAAAAGTTACTTTAGCGGTCGCAATCTTCAACATCCAATTAACTCGATCATCTATTTCAAGTATCAGCTGCTCTGCCAGGAGCAACAGGTCTTGCTTACGGTTTAACAACACCCTTCCAGGTTTCAGAATCGTAAAATTTTGTAAAATTATCTCTTTAAAAAATGCCTGACACACTGGTCAGGAGCTTTAAAGAATGGCAGCGAATGTTTTAAAATGGAGGCCGTGCAAACCATGCAGTGTAACTACGTAATCACATTACTCTTGCAGTAAGAGTACGAAGGTCCATTGGGAAGGCAACATTGCAAGTCTCAGGCCTATTGTGAATCCTTGGTTTCTTGCAGGAAATATTGGAAATCGGATGTATCGAGAAAATGACGTCACCTCGGAAAGAAAGCCTCAGAATCAGTAATAATTTAGAAAAGTGAGAGAAGGAAGAAACAAGCGTGGAAGGAGACAGCATGAGCGCCTAAGGCGAATGAAAACCTGAAAACCTTGGAGGGTTGACGCTCTTCTCGGCCGCCAACAGACCACCCTTGGAATATCGTCGAGGAAAGGATTGCCAGACATGGCATCCGTGATCGAGACATGACTCACCCTGGAAAGTTAGCCTTCGTTCGGATGCAGGGCTGGCAAGGACTCCGTCGGAATCGTAACGGGAAGAGTAATAGGTCTTCTTGACGTAGCCCGGCGATTTCAACTTCGGACTCCCTGCTCCCGATCCTCCCTTTTCGCCCCATCCACGAAAAACAATATCACATTTGTATCAGGTGGATCTATTTGCATATACGCTTCTCACCAAATGCATGGTATGGTCGACGATCTGACAAAAGGGCAAATGTGCAATTTTGACATTTTCTGGATCAAGAATTCGCCATTTCTCCGACTGAGGAATGAAATTTGAGGACCTTTCGACCTTTCCTCTAGAGAGCTGAAAAACTCGTTGCTTTCCGGTGCAAAGTTGAACATTCCTCAATTCTCATTCTGCAGTACACAAAGGGTGTATTTTCAGAAATACCATATTCGCTTCCTCGTCAGATCATCGACGATGTGTACATTACACGTACAATCTATGATATGCGATGGATGGATGGAAAAAAGCGCGCACTTTTCGCGCAGAAAGGCGTGTAGAAACCTACCGAAACCATTGAAAAGGATTTGATTATGCAATCAAGTGCAGTGGAAAAGAGGGATTCTCGATAGCAGGCCAATTAATATGCACAACACAGTACGTTTTTGTCCCTTTCAATCAGGATTGTACCGCAATACCGGCATACATATCGGTGGAGCTCTTCTCAGTAAACACCGTGTCATAGGAGATGCAAGAAAAGCTATACAGTAGCTGTTGACATACGGCAAACATCGAACAAGTAACCCAGAGGTTTCAAAGCCGTTCCACAAGCCAATAACAAAAAAAAATACTTTAAAGCAGAATGCTCTTTCTAACGGAAAGGAATGTAAACCAACCAAGTCACGAAGTGATATGAGTCACATGCTCTGCCTTATGGAAGAGTTGATTTTCTCGTAGTTTCCGTGAGTGTTTTTAACATAAACCCATCCATCCATCCAGAAAGGTGAAACTAATCTTCCCATTCTTGCTTAGGCGTGACTAATGAAGAAAAAAGGAGCAAATGCACTTATAGAGGTAAAGAAATCTGAGTAGAATGGTGACATGGTGGTCAAGGAGAGCCGAGAATGGGTTTCAATGGATGGAATGGATCTTGAAAGGCGAGAGAAGAAAATAGGAAGGCAGGAAGAAAGGAAGGAAGGAAGAAGGGAGGGAAGAGGAAGGAAGGAAGGAAAATGGCCTTGAATGGCTGAGGAGGGAAATGAGGCCAATGGCACATCCAGCTGTTCTCTTCCCCTTCAATTACCCATAAACCCAATTCCAGTAATACTGTCTCACACGTCCAAGTAGTCGTCGAGGGGACTGCCCCGCTTCGAGTGCAATAGCGATCATCCTTATCAACCAACGACCACATTCCGGTTAACCTAGTGTGTTGCACGACAGGAAGGATTTCGGAGGTTCGCTATCCCTATGTTTTGCTGCGTGATCAGGATCGGACTGGCCCACAGGGATACTGGAAAAATGTTCGGCCCTCCTCCCCCCCAAACCTAGGTAGTGCGGGGACCTTTGGTCAGCAATTTCCCGTGAGCCCCCTAGGCCGCTCGTCCGACCCTGAGCGTGATGGTGGATATAGCATGACCATAACCCAGGACAGACTTATGTGGAGGGGTAGGAAGGATTCCACTCCATGACAGGATGACAAAAGCCGGTTTACCACCAGCTAGGAGTCAGACTCAAATAAAAGTTATGACTGTTTTCAATCTTTCTTCCGCAATGTATATCCTGTGCAGGTGCAGGTGGAGGTGAGTAAGTCGGAAAGCCGGGCGGGTGAACACAGCCTTGGCCCTTCAAGGTCTAATTGGCCTGTTCCAAGACCTAGGGAGAAGGAACGTGATCGGGAATCCAAATCCCTCTGACTTCACACCCTCCCATACATACGCTTGTCTTCTCTCTGTCCGTGAGAGGACGAAGGCCATGGAACAAATCAATGCACGTCTCCCGTGAAAAGGGCCGGATCGACATCCAGCTTCCATGAAATGCATTTTAAAAGCCATTCATGAAGGGTGATTTGTTTTCTCCTTTCCGTGAACCTCTTCGTCCAGATGGTGCAGTGAGAGAGAGGGAAGAGCCATATAAAGAGAGAGATAAACCGCCTACATGCGTAGGAGCACCAGCAAGCTTCCTTTTATGGATTCACATGAAGAATCCTGCCCTCTAGCACATTTACATCCTACACAGGTATTCCTACCATGCCATGTAAACGATACAATACACGGTATGGATTTTCTTCCTTGCCAAAATGTCAAAGGCAATTTGGCAAGCCTCTTCCTTACTCGCGTGCAATGGAGCCACGTTTGCCAAGTTGTGACCTTCACCCGCCACCACGATGGAGACACACGGGAGGAACCATCTCGTATGAATCGCATTTCAAAGTTTTAGGAATATAAGAAGACAAAGAAAATGAAACGATCGGGTCGTTCCGTACCTCAGATTGCCATTCGTATTTTTCGGAGAAGTACTTGGCTTTCTTGTCGGGAGAGATATATTCCTCTCGGCTGTGTTTCGTCACTCGTCCGGGGCTGTTGATGATACCGTAGAGACCGTGACTGTTCATTTCCCCCCTTCCTCCAGGAGCGCTCATGTTGGTTTGCAGGTCGTCCAACAACTTATCTGTATGGATTCCCAACCGACGATCGAATGGAACGGAGAGAAATAATTAAAAAAAAATGGGAAGAGGGAAATGGGAACTCACTCAGCTGTCCATCCCAATTCTGCTGCTTCCCCGCCGACGAAGAGGACATCACCTCGTGTCGATAGGACGACGAGCTCGTCTCGCTCACCATTTTTAACAGATAAGATCAAAGAAATGAAAAAGGGAGGGTGGAGGATGAGATGGTGAATGGTTGGGAGGATGAGGGTGACTGCGTGGCCTTGCTGAAAATAGCCGAAGCTCCGCTCTCTTGTTTATTCTCTTCTGGGCCACGTTGCCAACCCACACACATTCACATTCACGCTTGCGATCTACACAATCTTCGCGAAATTTCGGTTGATGTTCCTCGCGTGAGAACCCAGGAGGGTCTGGAGTCCGCGGAAGGTCCTCCGTTGGTAAGAGAGAGAGAGAGAGAGAGAGTGAGTGAGAGAGAATAAAAAACTGAGAATGCAAGGGCACGCCTCTTACGCAATATGGAGGACCGACCTCTCTCCGCATTCAGAATAGATCTTGAGTAGGGAGGGGAGGAAGATACGTTTTCAAGGTCCCTTCCTTTTCCATGTTGGCTACCTTCTCTTTTCTGCCCCTTCATCGAAGGCATTAGGTTTTCAGACTTAATTTCACCGAATGCAAGTGAGTCGAGGGGCTAGGAAGGACCAAAACTGAAACGATGGCTAACCCTTACCCACATGTCTTCCAAGATTGCATCCCAATGGTGACTCATACATAGCCTTCACGGTTTCAGGAGGACCATGTGAATCATCCCAGTTCATCCACTATTGACTCCAATCTTCAGGACACGACGAGGAAGAAAAAATGGAGCAGGCAGAAGTGGAAGCTGGTGAACTTTTTGCGTTGGAGGAAGGAATGAAGCGAAAGAAAGAGGGGGAAGGGTAAATGGGTGTCCCTAGTTTCAGGACGTGTGGGTGGATACGACCACCAGCACGTGTGACGTCATTATTACGTCACCTTAGTTCCTTCTCATTTTATCTCTCTAGCTCTCTTTTAGGAGTTCTTCACCCCTTCCTACTCATTCGTAGAACCCGATCCCTTGCCATCGTCAGTTCCGGTTGCAGAATTCCACATACGGGGAGAGGGAGATGGAAAGATCGTAACCAAGACCACAAATAATCCCTGTAACCTTTATTAAATATCATGAAAATGATAAATAAATTATAGAAGACAACAATAAAAAAAACAGGTGATATCCTGTAGTTCACGTCAACTAGAAACGAGGTCATTCAATTCAGGGATGTCAACGAGTGGATCGAAGTATTCGTCGAAGGGAGAAGGTAAGTACTGACGCATGAGGATGAGGAGATCATTCAAGAATCCGGAATTTCCCCCAGGGTAAGAAATGCGAGGGAATTTGAAGCCACCTCCACCTGAGAACTTGATGATCAAATCCTGCGTATCTTCGAATCTGATCGGGAGCCGCTTGATTAACCATCGTCGATCTCGTTTCAGTGTCTTCTCTTCTCCATATCTGCTACAAAGTTCTGCGGCATGTATTTTATTTACAAAAGACATGATTCTGGGGAATATGGCTAATAAATACTTACTTTAATTGAATTCCTCCCAAGACGAAGGGCAATAACGTAAAAACTATAAGGATGCAGAACGCCGTTACTCCTGTCCGGTGCATCAGTAAATGTCCTCCAACTCTCCAGTCAGTCGAACAAAAATAGCGCTGTAATCAAACTTTTGCTATGGATACACAAAAGGCCGCACTCACACCTTCACGTCACCCGACACAATGTCACCAGAAAAGGTGACTCGTTCTGCTGACTTGCGATCTGGGAGCCCGATTCTAACTTGTGATGGAGGCAACACGTGATGGATCGAATTGACCCGGAGACCCATATTTTTGGTGGATCCAATCTATATCGCATCTGTATATTCCATGAGGACATGAGCCATGTCTTTAGCAGACGACAGCAACAGACGACTCATTGCGTCACATCGTGAATCAATATGGCTCCGTTCGTTTCCCTCTGAGGAGCCTCTTGCGGCAGGAGTTTTTTCAACAAATTTCTTTTGAAGCGAAAACACAAACACGGTCTTTTTCAATTTATTAGCAGCAGTGAGTGATACATGGGACGATGGAACCTCTCTTTGCATGTTCCCGCTGTTTCACCAAGCATCCTTTTGATGAATTGTCTCAAGGAAAGCAATTGTGCAAGGTAAGGTTACGCCAATATAACTCTTCATGGGCATAAGCCTATTAATTCTATAGCGTTTTTCACTTGAATCAAACTTTTTTCACTTGACTTTGGCACTCATGCACGAAAGTGTCTGAATCAAGTGAAAAACCCAATACAAGTTCACTGCAGGTGTAGGCCTAACGTTAGAGATCGAAAGCTTTTCCTGCCAGCCCCCCCCCCCCCCC